TCATTAAGGGTCATAAGTCTCTGTGATAAATGTGAAGTCTTGATTTATGAAGCACTTAAAAACTTAAAAGAAATTAGAATACTAAAAATATTACCTAAAATTATCTCATATCTAAGGAGCAAAGAACAAATATATGAATGGGTACATTTTACTGCACCATTTAAGACCATTTAAAGTTATTTTTTCATTTATTCTGTATTGAGCTATAATTGACAGATCACATAATTGGCATATAACATGTAAGTTTAAGGTGTTCAACATTGATCTTGTTGAATTTATATTGCGACGTGATTGCCATTGTAACATTAACGTCTGTATCCTGGTGGTATCCTGTATCCTGTGTTCCTAGTGTTGGGAGCAGTTCACATCTAGTCTCTGGCCAAGTTTAATGTTTGTAATACAGTTTTGTTCCTTGTAACCCCTGTACCGTGTGTTAAATCTCCAGGAGTTACTTAGTAGCTGCAATTATGTGCCCTTAAACAACATCTCCCTGTCCCCTGCCAAGCCTTTGGTAACCCATCATTCCACTCTCTTATTTGAGTTCAGAGTTTTTTGTTTTTCTTTTAAGAATCTTCGTATAAAAAATACAGTATTTGTCTTCCTGTGTTTGACTTATCTCACCTAGCGTAATGTCCCCAAGGCCCATCTGTATTGTCAGAAATGGCAGCATTTCCTTTTTTCTAATGGCTGAATAACATTCCACTGTGAATATATACCACATCTTCATCCTTTGATGGACACTTAAGCTGTCACTACATCTTGTCTCTCGTGTACAATGTTAATAAACATGGGAGTACAGATATCTCTGAGATCTTGTTTTCATTTCCCTTGGTTATGTATATACCCAGAAGTGGGACTGTTGGACCCTATAGTGGTTCTATTTTTAAATTTTTGAAGAAGCTTCATACTGTTCTCCAAAGTGACCAGACCAGTTTACAGTCCCACCAACAGTGCACAAATGTTCCCTTCTCTCCACATCTTTGCTGACATTTAATCTCTTGTCCTCGTGATACTAGCCATTCTGACAGGTGTGAGGTGATACCACATTCTGGTTTTGATTTGCGTTTCCCTGATGATTAGTGATAATGGGCACCTTTTCCTGTACCTGTTGGCCATTTGGATGTCTTTGCAAAAATGTCTGTGTGGTTCCTCTGCCCATGGTTTAATCAGATTTTTTTGTTGTTGCTGAGTTGTAGGAGTTCTTTTTTTTAATGTGTTTATTTTTGAGAGAGAGACGGATACAGAGCACAAGCAGGAGAGGGCCAGAGAGAGACACACACAGAATCTGAAGCAGACTCCAGGCTCTGAGCTATCAGTACAGAGCCCGACATGAGGCTCAAACCCACTAACTGTGAGATCATGACCTGAGCCTAAGTCAGACGCTTAACCAACTGAGCCATCCAGGTGCCCCAAGTTATATGAATTCTTTATAAAATTTTGGATATTAACCCCTTGTCTGTACATGGTTTGCAAATAGTCTCTCCCATTCCATAGGTTGTCTTTTTTTATTTTTTTAGTTACTTCTTTTGCAATGTAGAAGCTTTTAAATTTGATGTAGTCCCACTTGTTGCTTTTTTCTTTTCTTTGTGCTTTTGGTGTCATAGCCAAAAAAATCACTGCCAGAACCACCGTTTTGGAGCTTCCTTTTTCTTCTCAGAATCTTGTAGCATCAGGTCTTATGTTTAGGTCTTTGATCCATTTCAAGATAATTTTTGTGAGTGGGGTAAGGAGTCCAATTTCATTTTTCTGCATGGAGTTATCCAGTTTTCCAATACCATTTGTTGGAAAGACTCTCTTTTCCCTATTGGATGTTCTTGGCTCTCATCAAATATTAGTTGACCATGTCTGTGGGATTTTGAATCTCTTCTGTTCCATTGGGGTGGGTCTGTTTTTCTTTTTTTTTTCTTTTTTCTTTTTTAAAAATTTTTTTTTTTTCAACGTTTATTTATTTTTGGGACAGAGAGAGACAGAGCATGAGCGGGGGAGGGGCAGAGAGAGAGGGAGACACAGAATCGGAAACAGGCTCCAGGCTCTGAGCCATCAGCCCAGAGCCTGATGTGGGGCTCGAACTCCCGGACCGCGAGATCGTGACCTGGCTGAAATCGGACGCTTAACCGACTGCGCCACCCAGGCGCCCCGGTGGGTCTGTTTTTAATGCCAATTCCATACTGTTTTGGTTACTATAGCTTTGTAGTATAGTTTGAAATCAGGAAATGTGATGCTACCTGCTCTTTCTCATGATTGCCTTGGTTATTAGGAACTTTTGTGGTTCCATACAAATTTTAAGGTTGTTTCTTCTGTTCCTGGGAAAAGTGCCATTGGAATTTTGATAGGGATTGAGTTGAATATAGATAGCTTTTGGGTAACATGGACATTTTAGCAGTATTCTTCCAGTCTCTGAACACTGTGTCTTTCCATTGGGTCTTACTTCTTCCAATAGAATCTCATAGTTTTCATTGTACAGATCTTTCATTTCCATGGTTAAATTTATTCCTAGGTATTTTATTGTTTTTGATGCCATTTAGAATGAGACAGCTTTTTATTTCCCCAGATGTTTCACTGTTATCGTATAAAAAATGCAACTGATCTGTATGTGTTGATCACATCCTGCAACTTTACACTGATTAGATCCAACAGTTTTTAGTTGAGTCTCTGGGATTTTCAGTGTATAAGAATCTATCATTTGGGGGCGTGAGTCGGTTAAGTGTTGGTCTTGATCCCATAATAAACATATGTATGTATATGATGACAGTTCTACTTTCTTTTCATCTGGATACCTGTTAATTTCTTTGTGTTGCCTAATTGCTCTAACTAGGACGTTCAGTACTATGTTGAGTAAGAGTGGTGAGGGAAGATTCAGTTTAAAGAAAAAAAAGCCTTTTCTTCATGTCATTTTATTTATTTTTATTTTTTTTTAGTGATTTATTTTTGACAGAGAGAGAGACAGAGACAGAGAGAGAGAGAGAGAGTATGAGTGGGGGAGGGGCAGAGAGAGAGGGAGACACAGAATCCGAAGCAGGTTCCAGGCACCGAGCTGTCAGCACAGAGCCCAATGTGGGGCTCGACCTCACAGACTGCAAGATCATGACCTGAGCCGAAGTCATACGCTCAACCGACTGAGCCACCCAGGCGCCCCTTCTTCATGTCATTTTAGACATCTATTCTGCTCACTTTCCCTTGATCCTGATCTGTTTTACTGTATTTTCTCTGAGGCACGATGGGGATCATACAGCTGTGCAGTCTTCCCAGGTGAGTCTTAATCGTTTCCTCTGACTGGGTTTTTCACTTTTTAAAATCTCTTTGAGGGCCTTCTCCAGGTCCACCTCAGCAGTTTTCTAAGGGTTGACTTAGGTCTAAAACAAACAGTAAAGCCACACATTCAAGTTAAGCTCATGACAAACTGAAAAAACAAACATGGTTAAGGAATCTTACTGTTTAATGTTAGGAGAATGTGCCCAGCGTTGTTATAAAGAAAAGCGGGTGGAATTTACCAAAGGGATGAAGATGTATTCATGCGGGCACGTGTAATTTCACATCCTGCCCGTGGACTCACTTCCACTGTGCTCTCATCAGGTGGGGCACTTTGGACAATCTCCTTCCTTCGGGATTGTCCTTGAGGACAAATGTTGAACTATAGGAGATGATCATTGCTACCTCATAAAAAATTGTGCAGTTTTTAATACAAATACAACCATATTCTCCCTTTGAGCCCTCCTCAAAACCTCTGCAATGACCACAGGCCTAAGTTTGCATCTCCACTGAGGGCTGAAACCATTATGCCATGCTTTACTGCGTTTCATCAGTCGTGCACTTTGCAATGAGTCAGCAGTCACAATGCTTACAATTTTTTTAAATGCTTATTTTTGAGAAAGAGAGACCGTGAGCGGGAAAAGAGAAGAGAGAAAGGGGGATAGAGGATCCGAAGCAGGCGCTGCTGACAGCAGTGAGCCTGATGTGGGGCTCGAGCTCATGGACCGTGACATCATGACCCAAGCTGAAGCCAGATCCCCAATTGACCGAGCCACTGAGGTGCCTCAATAGTTATATATATATTTTTTTAATGTTTATTTTTGAGAGAGAGTGTGAGTGGGGAAGGGAAGAGAGAGAAAGAGACACAGAATCTGAACCAGGCTCTGAGCCGTCAGCACAGAGCCCAACACGGGGCTGGAACTCCCAAACCATGAGATCATGACCTGAGCTGAAGTCAGACGCTTAACCGACTGAGTCACCCAGGTTCTCTAGTTATAATTTTGTAATGACAGCATGTATAGTTTTCTATGACTTGGGAAAGAGAGTTGCCTCCCAAGGGCCCCTTCCTCCTCTGGCCTCTCTTAGGGGAGCTTATCTGCACAGTGGCTGTGGCTATGTCTATAGCTGAGCTCCTGGGTCTGTAAGGGTCGACGAAATACTCTACACAGAATTTGTTTCCCCCCCTGGGAGCTCTGGTACCATGCAGTACATTCAGACACCTGGGCCCACGTTCGTCCCAAAGCTGTTGTGACTTGCTGTCTCAGTGATGAAGGACTGAGGTTTATCCCCTCATCTCCCATTTCTTCCCATCTGGCCTTCACTTCCACGCTCCATCAGCCCAGCTGCAACCTTGCTACCACGTGGACAAGAATGACGGGACCGCATGCTTCAGTCGTGGCACGTCCTGTGGAGTT